AAAAAAAAAAAAAAAGAAAGAAAGAAAGAAAGATTCGGTCGACCCTGGTAAACTTTTATCTATATAAAACGTTAATTTTCACTAGTTGACAACGTGTTATAGTATGGTGGTGTTTAGATATCTGTATAGATTCGCTCAAGGTTAAGCTTACCTTAGAACGGATGTGACCAGCTCGGCATCGCAGCTCTCTCTCTCTCAAAGTATAAGGATTCAAATGACTTCGACTATAAAACTCTTCAAAGTTCATCTTACTCTCTGAGCTCTCTCTACAAGGCCTTCTCGCTTCGTCCATGATTTAAAATGGAAACATTTAGAGCTAATGTCGCATTGACTAATTGTTATTGTTTGGGGAAATTGTTTCCAATAAGTCGCTGTTACTTGGCACCAGTGCTTGGATATCGTGAGGGCCAATATATATAAGTCTTCGAAAATGTATTGTCGACTTAGTGCGAGCACGGCTAGACACGTGGGTACGAGTAGGATTTGTCTTCCATGTCTGCAAGCTGGATTATAATTCAGTGCTTTAGTTTATGTTTTGTTTAGGGAAATAACAGGAAATTCTTTGACTCGTTTCGAGTAAAAGCTATAACACTGTGAAAATATATAAGCTGCAAAAGTTCAACAATAGGAGATAAAAATCGTTTTTCTTCGTCGAGTTTTGACGTCGTATAAAAGCTTGAAAACCCTATTTTTTCATCAGCAGCTTTCATTATGACCTTTTAGGCAGATCTTAGAGATCTTTTGAAAATATCGCCATGAAATAAATAAAAATCCAGCATAGTTTCTCTGAAAACAAGATTTCAGCAACCAATGAACATTGCGGTTTTTAATACGACTTAAAAATTAGACAGTTAGAACGTTTCAAAATGATTTATAGAGCTTTTGGCTTCAAAATCTTCCAGAAAATGTCAATAACCTCATTAAAAGCACATGAAGCAAAAATCTGTGGTTGAGAATTAATGGAGTTTGAAAGAAAGACGTAAAAATATTAAGAGATTAGCAGCGAAAAAACATGCAGTAATCTCGAGAAAGTTAAAAGCGTCTCTGTAGAAATACTAAGCCATGCGATGGAATTTTGGTTTCTGATATTCTATACTTGGAGAGATTCTGAAAGACATCTCGATGTTATAAGAAGTATACGTATTTAGTGACCATCTTATTGACTAGACAGGTGGTATAAAATAGTAGTGCATTCGAAGCTAAGACCACGAGTAACAAAAATCGACGTCAATAGCCTCAGGCATGTCAGTAAGTTCAAACTTATTTTTTGACGACATTAAATTTACAATTAGTTCTAGCGAAATAAAAGCTGCATTAAACTCTGAAAAGTGAGAATCGCTCGGCTTTTATACCACCGAGGCCATATAATTCAGAGCTTCTTGGACCAAGTTATGATGTTAGTTTTCTAGCTTATATCATACTTGAGGTATATATAGTTTAGAATAATTTAAAAGCTTTTCCCACAAGTGAGCCTAATGGGTCAGATCATATGGGTGGATGGAAAACATTTTAAGTGACTTTGAAATGGCTTCTATTTTTAAGTGTTGCGATTGGCTGTGATTTTTCTGGCGTTTTCATTGGTTTAGAGTATATAAAAGCCATTTGACTGGAGTCACGGTTCCACGCCTGAACACACGATGTTACGTGTTGTGGGACACATTCCTGGTAAATTTGGTCCCGTCACCCTTGCGGGACATGTTGCGGGAAATGTTGCGGGATCGGGAATATAAAATGCGTAAACTACGTATCAGTTTGATTTGACAGCTCATGTCCCGAATACAATTTTCCCCGCAATAATTAAGTTTTATTTACATTAGGAACAAAGGAAGGGATTATTGCAGGTCAGACACGACAAGACGCCATATTTTTGTGTTTGCTGGCTGTTTTTTTGACATTAGTTCTTTAGTTTTTCTTCGATCAATATTCTTTTCATTTCCTTTCGCTTTCATTATATTTTTATCCCTTTCTTGAAAAAAAATTGATTTTTAGAGTTTCACTTTTGCTTTATCATATGCAAAGTTAAAGCCACATCAAAGTAACATCTGTCGAACATTAATATTTGGGTGCCCTGTGGCGTTATAACTTTGAAAGTCTAAAAATAAACACGGAAACGTAACATTACCATGGCGACGATATTTAGCTACCCGGATGTACATTGTAGATAATAAGAGATATTGCTGTTAAACGGTTGTCCTGGGTTAAAAAGATAATTCTAAATTTAAAACAATACCCTGAAATTATACAATATAGACGGTAAGGATTAGTATAAATGAGTTTTTTGTCTCTCGTAGTTAGAATGAATTAAAAGCATAACAACGCATTTGATAAAGAAATTCGGTGAAAACTCGCAGGACAAATCACACAAAACCGTTGCCTGTTTCATAAGGATATTATTTTTCTTATTTTCTCTAAAGGAAATATCCCAAAATCAAAATATTCGAATGACTATAAAGACTGCAAATCTAGATATTCTCCTCCGAAGATGAGTTTTTCAATTAAATTAGGTATAAGTTGGTTGGAATTAAAAATAGAACTTGATAAGAAAAACAAGTTTTTTAACGATACAATTCAAATTAATATCGATATTTTGGGGTTAAAAAAGATATATTGAACACGTTAGAATGGGTTGATCAACTGTCTTACCTTATAGAATCAGGAGAAGGAACATTCAATAGAACGGTCAAGAGTCTAGAAAACCGGTAGACTGATCTCAATCAAACTGGCGTCGATAGAACGCGGTCAAATTGTTACTGGCACAACAGCTAGTCATTCGTTTGTTAAATCGACAGCTGCTAAATGCAGCCCAAACAAACACTAAGACAGGCCAATCATACGGTTTCGCGATTTCAAATCATTGCCATAAGTTTAAGTATTTCGAATATCTTAAAACTCCGTATCAAAAATTTAATACATGAATTACAAATCGGCGACTGGAATCATGCTTATTGATGCTAAGCTTCTTATTTTGCTTGGCTACACGATAAATCCTTTGAAAACATCAAGAAAACCTGCTTAGTAAACGAGCTTTATCGGATAACCTGAATGATATACGGCTGTATAAAAATATATAAAACATAAGTGCATATATCAATTTAAATTTATTACCATGTGCCAACGGCTCCGACCCCGAGACCCCAAGGGTGAGAGGTTAATACACTATCACTTACGAATAATGATAGTAATAACATCAATGATGATAATAATAGTTATACAATTATTATTTAAATGATTCGAATTCCCATTGTTATTATTTCTGTTGATTATCATCAATCATTATTACTGATTATTATTATTATTATTATTATCATTAATACTGTTTATATTAATTTACATATTAAATAAGTATCCATCCATCCATCCATCCCTTCCTCCAACCATCCACTCACCCACCTTCAATTTACTTTTAAGCAAACACACCTGCAATCTAACTGCAACGGGGATGCCATCAATACCTATTGCGCCAACAACGAAAGGCATTCATTTCTTTGTCTATTTATTTTCTTCCTTTTTTATCTTTCTTTTTGGCTTTATTCCTTTCTTTCGATCGTTCTTTTCAGTCTTCAACAGCCAATTTTAACCTATCCGTCATTTTGAATCAAAAACATAATCTATATATAGCAATGGGGTTAGATATCAACGAATATAAACACCTCGTTCAAAGACAATATAATTTAACATATTTTCCCCACTACTCCAATTCGATCTGTTAATTAGTCTAATTAGCTCGTCCTCAAAAAACTAGCACCTTACTGGTACTTAAGTCCCAAGTAGTTGAATTGATCTGGGATGAATTAAAGGTTTTATTTTAGTTTTCCTGTCAAGAACCATGGCCGGAAGGAAAAGATCTTTGATGTCTGTTAAGAAAGCTTCACACCATCAAGGAGCTTATGAACAGGGTGACACGTTGGTCTTTGATCTCGCCGCGATAAGGTGGTTATCAGTTTTACAACTGATTATTTATAACGACTACACTTTATCAATAAATTAAAACTGCTAAAAATAAATAGAAATACAATGAACATAAACATAAAAAAGATTTAAGAAGTGCAAGAAATTTGGATATTTGGAACATTTATTCTGCATTCAGCTTCTTAGTTATGGAATTCAATTCCCAAGGAAATAAAATGGCAGAAACGCTGCGTACTTTTAAGTCCAGACTTATAGAGTGGTTTTCAAAAACCCGTGAAATACACTTTAGCGTATTACACTTTAAAATACACTTTATTGTCCGCATTTTCTTTTGTGTTTTCGTTGTATTAAAATTTATCACACCTTAGTTATTACACTTTGTCTCACGTGTTTTTGAAAACCACTCTATGAGTCTGTACTAGCGATTTTTGCTGCGATTTTTGCTGCGATTTTTTTTTGCGATTTTGTCCATAATAAATAATGGTAAAGAATTTACTTGTAAAGTTTTTTTCAGGATACCAAGATTTTCCAAGACGAATGTCTTTTTTGAAGGATGAGACAAAAGAGTTCATATTTTCGAAAACTGCCACAAAAATCGCAGCAAAAATCGCCGCAAAAATCGCCAATGTAAACGGGGCTTAAGCCGTTTCTTTTTACGAACTATTTTCTTAGAACATTTCTCTCTCTGCTTCCGTCCATTTTTAATATTCATAACGCATAGAGATTTTGATATGCGTTCCAATACGATACAATGTGCTTTATTTATACCAGAGATTACAATAGAGACAAATATAGATATAAGTATATTTACAAAAGAATGGTAGAGGTCAACCTAGAATAACTATGAGAGCTACACGAGCTAGGTAACACCTAGCACCTTTTATTATTATTACTGGAAGAAATGTGGATATTAATTGAAATCAGGAGGGAAAAAATGAAAAAAAAGAAATGTAACATATGCTCAAATGATTGAAAACATCGAAAATATGAATAAATTCAAAAAGATTCCGACTTCCAGCTGATCTGAAATAGTGACATAGAAACGACGTCTGATTGGCTAACGTTTTTTCTCAGATTGTGATATCGAGGTTTCGTTGGTTGGTACCTCGTATATTATACAAAGCCATGACTACCAAATTACATTTATTGTTATGAATACAACAGTGCACGACACACGCCGTTCTGTACGACACAAACGTGCGAGGATTTTTGAATTGCCACTGCACGGGGTACCTAGAGTTCTCAGTACTGGATAATCCCAGGAACTATATTGAATTTCTCCCGAGGTCTTACTGGGCAATTCTGGGGACTATGTTTAATTCTTATGACGCCATGGACTATAAAGGGTATGTACCCCCTGAGATCTGTACTGGGTATCCCAAGGTCTAAGCTGGGTAGCTAGAGGTCTTTACTGGGTTACGCCATGGACTATATTGGGTACCCCCCTGAGGTCTGTACTGGAGATCCCAAGGTCTAAGCTGGGAATCTAGAGGTCTTTAGTGGGTAACGCCATGGACTATATTGGGTACTCCTTGAGGTCTGTATTGGGTGTCCCGTCTGTAACGGGTAATCGAAACGTCATTCATATTACTGGATATTATTACTGGAAGTTAGACTCTTGAATTA